CCGTGCCAGGTCCTGCTCCTTCAGGTGTCTCTCAGGTAGACCCCCCTGTGCCTGCGCCTGTTGAGGTCACTGGTGACTCCGGTCCTGCTGCGAGTGGTGCTGTCCCTGGAGGTGCGGAGCTTGGGGGTGCTGAGTCTGGGGGCGCTGAGCGTGTGGAGCCTGGAGGTGCTGAGCCTGCGCATGAGGAGCCTGGAGGTGCTGCGTCTCGGGGTACTGCGTCTGGAGGTACTGAGTCTGGGGGTGAGTTGCCTGAGGGTTCTGAGACTGCTGTTACGCGGTCTCCTTGGAGTAGCCGTCTTCGTCCGCGTGTGCCCCTCACCCCCCAGCAGCTGCACGACTGGTACGGTCGCCGTCGGCGTCCCACTTCTGCACCTCAGGGCTCTCCTACTGGAGGTTCTTCTGCTGGTGTCGCTGGTCCCGGAGGTGCTCGTACTGGGAGTAATGGAGCTGCTGGGGCTGGTGGTGGTGCTGCTGGAGGTACTGGAGCTACTGGCGGTGCTGGAGCTGCTGAGGGTACTAGAGCTGCTGGAGGTGCTGGAGGTGCTGGAGCTGCTGGAGGTGCTGGAGCTGCTGGAGGTGCTGGAGCTGCTGGGGGTGCTGGAGCTGCTGGGGGTGCTGGAGCTGCTGGAGGTGCTGGAGCTGCTGGTGGGGCTGGTGCTACTCGTGCTGGTGGCACTGCTCAGCCGCGCCTGTTCTTTGCTCCGCCGTCTCCGTCGTCTCAGCCACCACCTGACTCTGCACTTCGCCAGGTTCTCAGTCTTCCCTCGTCTACTGGTCTTCCGTTACAGCCTGGCTCCCCGCTGCCTGCTCCTTCTCCATACACAGAGCAGCCTGGTGGCCTTGCAGAGCGTCGTGAGCCTGTGTCGCGTCCTGTCTCCCCTGTCAGTTCCGGTCGTCGTGTTCCTCGTCAGAGCCAGCCGGCTGTCTCCGGCCCTCCCCTTGTAGTTCGTCGTCCTTCCTCTCCTTCACCGCATGTTCCTCTGCCGCCTCCCCCTGCGTCCTCTCTGCCTGTCGTTGCTGACCCTGCGTCTGACCGGTTTCGTGCTGAGCACTCTACTGTCACGCGTCTGCTTGCCACTGTTGTCACTGACCCGTCGTTTGAGTCTGCTGCTGCGTCTGCCTTAGTCACTGAGCTTGTTGCCTTTGCTGCTCACTGTCGTCTAGACTACGCCGCCAGTCTTGTTGCTGAGTCTGCGTCTGTCTGTGCTCCGTCCGTCGGGGGTGAGTGTGCTCTTGGCACGGACGTCCTTGAGGACAGGCAGGAGGACCTTGAGTGTCTTGCAGCCGCTGCGCCTCATCTCGTATCCATGCTGCTTGCCCCTGAGGGAGACCCGGATGCACCAGACATCCCTACCCCACGCTCTTACGCTGAGGCGATCGCGGGTGAGTACTCCTCTCAGTGGCAGACAGCCATGGACGCAGAGATGGCATCCTGGAAGTCCACAGGCACCTACGTCGACGAGGTTCCCCCTCCTGGGGCGAACATTGTCAGTGGCATGTGGATTTTCAGGGTGAAGCGGCCGCCAGGTTCTTCGCCTGTCTTCAAGGCTCGTTACGTGGCTCGAGGCTTCAGTCAGCGACAGGGAGTTAACTTCTTCCAGACCTTCTCCCCCACCCCGAAGATGACCACTCTTCGGGTGCTGCTGCACGTTGCCGCTCAGCGTGACTACGAGCTTCACTCTCTTGACTTCAGCACAGCCTTTTTACAGGGCAGCCTGCACGAGGAGATTTGGCTGCGCCGCCCTCCTGGCTTCACTGGGTCGTTCCCTCCTGGTACCCAGTGGAGCCTCCGGCGGCCGGTCTACGGTCTCCGCCAGGCGCCACGTGAGTGGCACGACACACTGAGGACGACACTTGCGGCTCTTGGGTTTGCTCCGTCGACTGCTGACCCGTCGCTGTTTTTGCGCACCGACACTTCGCTGCCGCCGTTCTACGTTCTCGTGTACGTCGACGACTTGGTCTTTGCCACTGCTGACACTGAGGCTCTCGCCCTGGTGAAGTCGGAGCTGCAGAAGAGACACACGTGCACAGACCTGGGTGAACTGCGCAGCTACCTTGGCTTGCAGATCACCCGGGACAGAGCACGCCGCACCATCACACTGACTCAATCACACATGGTGCAGCAGGTCCTTCAGCGCTTCGGTTTCACCTAGTCCTCAGCACAGGCCACTCCTCTGGCTACAGGTCATTCGCTCTCATCTCCACCTTCGGACGAGTCCGTAGAGCCGAGTGGTCCTTACCCAGAGTTAGTAAACTGCCTCATGTACCTGATGACTTGCACTCGTCCTGACCTTGCGTACCCTCTTGGCCTTCTGGCTCGCTACGTGGCTCCTGGTCGGCACCGAAAGGTGCACATAGATGCTGCGAAGAGGGTACTACGCTACTTGTGCAGTACATCGGGCATGGGGCTCGTGCTTGGAGGACGGGGTGACGTTGTCCTCACTGGTCACTCAGACGCCTCTTGGGTTGACGACCAGGCTACGCAGCGGTCGTCACAGTGTTACACCTTCAGCCTTGGCTCTGGTTCAGTTTCTTGGCGTTCTACACGCTCGTCTTCAGTTCTCGGCTCCAGTTGTGAGGCTGAGATCTACGCCACAACCATGGCTGCACAGGAGCTTCGCTAGCTCACCTACCTGCTGACAGACTTGGGAGAGCGGCCTCGTTCTCCTCCAGTGCTGTACGTCGACAACAAGGCCGCCATTGCCTTGTGTCAGGAGCACAGACTGGAGCACAGAACGAAGCACATCGCTCTCCGTTACTTTCTTGCTCGAGAGCTGCAGCAGCGTGGCCAGCTTCGTCTTACCTACGTGGCCACTCGGGCCAACACTGCTGATATATTCACCAAGGCACTTCTGCCTGGTGATCATCAGCGTTTCTGCACTTTGTTAGGCCTTGTGCCCACGCTTCCTCACTTGCTGTAGGCTTTGTTTGTACCATGATTTATATGAATTCCTGCATGCTTGTTCTTGTAGGTAGATTTCACTGTACTGTTGTTGTTACATATATATCTCTGCATGTGAACTGGCCTTGTGGCCTTCTTGCTTGTGCTCAGACTGCGTGGTGACGTTGTGATCCACCCTGAGCTTGCTTTGCACTTCCTGACTGGTCTTGTGACCCTCTGTTCTCCCCCACTCTGCCTATGGGGGTGTGTCAAACATATGTATATCTATGTTATAGTTTGGGTAGGCTTAGTGGGGTACACACTGTGAGGTACAACCCCTTAGGTTCATTTTCTTTGTACCAACCCCCTCGATAGTCGACATCACTTTTAGCCTACGATTATGACAGAGATAACAAATGCAATTTGACAATTGGGGTTGGGGCTGGGGTGGCGAGGGAATTGTAGGGAGGGGCTGTGAGATGCGAGGGAAATGGACTTCAACTGGGAATGGCGAGGGATATGGGAGAAATGGGGCTCGACTGGGAGAAGTGACGGAAATGGGGAGAATTGTGCTGAGAGGTGTAAGGGAATCGGAGAGAGTGGGGCTTGGAGAGGCGAGGGTCTTAAGCATGCAAGGATAACAATATGCGCACACTGATTTTGACAGGGTATAAAAAATACTTCACTTTTGGAGAAAGGGTGCAAAATTTTCCACCCTTCCAAATCAGGGTAATCGTAAAAAATGGATTCTAGAAAAGGTAATCAGGGCGCCCTTGAAAAAATGCCCATGGTCACATACACCAACAATATTGAACTACATATATGAAGACGAGGTTGTAAATATTGAATCTTGTGTCACATTTCAGTAGTGAGAAGTTGTACGCTGTTATTACTTGAATAAATTTTATTGTGATGAGAAATGATTTTCTTAATTTCCAGCATTTGAACGAATTTGTTCTACCTTGTTTTTCTTGTTATAACAAACCCTTCCCGTACAGCGTACGTGCTCCCCAAGAAACACCTGCTTGGACCAGTCAACCCTGTGTTTCCCTCATTCAGTGCAGCTCGTATACCCTCGTCCAGCGCACCTCTCTCTTCCCGCCATTAATTTCCAGGGGGAGTTAGCTATGTCGGGTGTTATCTGATCTATTAGCAAGCAATGGTCAAGGCCGGTGACTAGTGAGTTGGGCTCTTCATCTGTCGGTGGATTCCGTACCGCATTTCACATTCGCGACTCGGAGTGTCTCGAAATTGATCGCTGGCAACGCGATTCGACGCCATATCACATTCATCCAGATTTAAACTTCTGTAGAAAGCAGAGGCGTGATGGATCCGCTCATCAACCGCTTGTTCCTGCTAGCGAAAGTTCTTACTGCTCCTTCTGAATACCGTGCTTCGTCGCTCGCGTATATACTTCGCCTACATTTCGACTTGGGTTAGAATCAGCATCCGATAGAGTCTCCGCTCCCCAAATTGGCTCCCCAAATCGGTTGCTCGCTGCGCTCCGCTCTCACCGTGGGGCTTTCGCGTTCAGCGACGCCAGGCGGCATCATGCCTTCCACCCAGCGCTTCCTCCTTCTCGCGCTGCTTGCGCTCGTCGCCACGGCTAGTGAGTCGCATTCACTCGTCATTTCATAGGGTCCATTTCTTCTCGTCATGGCGTTCGTCCAGTCGTATGACGAGGCCCGTTCCGACAAATATGCGAATCCTCGCACCGCCGTCAGTTATGCCTTTTTTCTTTTGCCCGACAAGTCTGCGAATCTCGACCCGGGCTCATGCCCGTCCTATTCCATCATCCTCCCTCACCGCCTTCCCTTCCCTTCAGTCCTCGCGGAAGCCACCGGCAAGACCCGTTCACAACCGACGGCAGGAGAAACGAAGGCCAAGGTTGCTACTAGCAATAAGCGGGCGGGCAGCTCGGGGGCGACCGGATCAACTCCGTCTGGAAAGAAGCCAGCCCGCTCGCAGCAGGCGGCAGTGCAGACGACTGGCAGCAAGCGGCAGGGGCAGCAGCAGATGATGGGCGTGAAGCAGCAGAAGTCGTTTGACGGCCACGTGGCAGCGAACGGAACTCGCGTGGCGGGAGGGAAGGGGCACGTGAATGGCACGAGGCACGTGAATGGCACTAGGGTGGGTGGCTGCAGTGAACGGCACTGATGGCCGGGGCAGGCCGCAGCGTGGTGGTGCTGCTGGCGCTGGCGGCCGTGCTGGTGGTGCTGGTGGCAGGCGTGGCGGGCAAGGAGGCAACGTGATTGGTGAGTGGGATCACACCACATACCAGGCCTGATTGGCCACTTGTTGCCAACAAAGCCTGTGGGATTCCAGTGACGGCCATGACCTGTTACGTTGTTATGTTCATTCATTGCTGCAGTGTGTCGCAAGCCGGTGGACTTGACGCCTTGCTTGCTTTCCCATGGCAGGTGTGGTGGGCGCGCGGATGAGTGGCGAGCAGATGGTGGGGTCAGCAGGCATGGCCAATGCCACGGGCCGCCTGGAGCTGAAGCTTGTCAAGTCAGTGCCGCTCGACGCTCCTTCTCTCCTCTTTCCCTTTTGCACCGCCATGGCTCTGCTTCTCCTTTCACTTGCTTATGATCCCTCCTCTCTCTGCTCTTGCAACTCGTTCCTCTGCTGTCCACACTCCATCTCAGCCCTCCTGGGTTGGCCCTTCCTCTTCTCCTCACACCAACTCCTTCTCCGCCTTGCCCTCCTCTTCATCCTGTGTTGACCCTCCTGTGTTGACCCTCTCTCTTCTCTCCTCACCCCCCTTCCCCACCCTCCCCTTCCTCCCCAGGACGGCCACTGACATGGACGTGCACTACTCGCTCTCCCTTGCGCACGTCTCCTCCCCCTCCCCTCCCACCGCCGCCTCCATCCACGCAGGCCCCGCCGCCTCCGCATCTGCCCTGCTGCTGGCCTTCCCCGCCTCCGCCTGGACCAACACCACCCGCCCCTTCCATCGCGCCTCCAACGCCACCGCTGCTGCCCCCCCTGCGGCTGCACGCTTCAGCTACGGCGCCAGGGGCGTGTGGGCCAACGCGTCCTCCCTCCCTGCGGCTGCGGGCGGCTCTGTGGCTGCGGCTGTGAGCAGCATCCTCGCTGCCCCCGCCTCCTTCCACGCTCTCATTGCCACCTCCGCATTCCCCCAGGGGGCTGTGCGCGGCCAGATGGCCAACATGACCCGTGGGGGGAAGTAGTAGCATGGGGCGTGTGGTTGACAGGTGGACTACTGGAAGGGAATGAGAGGTGTGCTGGAACAAGGAGAAGGGGGTATCCGCGGCTGCTGATGTGCACGACATGTTAGAAAGGGGATTTTTTTGCGACGGGATGTTAGAAGACAGCCTATTATTGCCTCAGCACAACAGATTCTCACAACTTTTGCTAGGGCACATATGTACCGGTATGTGAGGAGGAAAGGAATGGCATTAGGTAGAAGTTGCTTGCTAGGATGCTTGGGCTTTCTTAGGATGCTTGGATGATACACCATTGGTTGTGGAGCTTGTTGCAAGTTGCATGCAATTTTTGAAAAAATTGCTATGGAGTGAAACCAAGGGTCTATAAGGGTACCACAATTTTCAGACTTGAAATCCTTATCACCAGTTCTTATTCCATGCTACCGTATTACCCCAGATACAAGTCACCTGCACTTAAAATAAAGCAGAGTTTTTTAGGGGGGTGCGCTTCTAATTGAGTCATTTTTATATATGCATGTGCTTATATAATGACGGATACATATATATAGTTTTATAGTATCAAAATGTACATCTCAGTCGTACCATTCCAATCTAGGCGAATTTTTAAAGCGCCAGGAATCAGAATCGCGCGCTACCGATTTTTTTCCAACACACAGGGGCAAAGTGTCAAACATATGTATATTTATGTTATATTTTGGGTAGGCTTAGTGGGGTACACACTGTGGGGTACAACCCCTTAGGTTCATTTTTCTTTGTACCAACCATCTCGATAGTCGACATCATTCACTCATGCCTAGCTTCTAAGATGGTATCTAGAGCATAGGTCTTTAGGACCTAAGATTAGGGCCCACCGATTACTGCATTACCTCACCTACGGCCTTACCTGCCTTGCCTGCTGCCCGCGCGCGCCTCGGCGACAGCAAGGACAAACAACTGACTCGCTATTGAGCAGTTGTGTTAGAATGGTCTAAGCTACTAGCGGAAGCTATAGTAGTCTTAGAACCTCCTCCTAAAGCCTAGGAATCTTAGGAGCCAACTTGGGCATGAACCATGCTAAAACCAAAGTGGTTACCAAGAAGTGAAGTTCCAACAAGAGAGAACCCTAACCTATAGGGTTTGGGAGGTGGCCCACTCTATAGAGTGTACACCACAAGTTCTCCCAACCCAACCAATGTATTCTACACTACTATAGTGTAGATGTATCACTACATATGTTTATTGGAGCAACCCGAATTAACCTTAATTTCAACACCCCCCCTTGCTCCAATAAGCATTAAAGTTCACCCATAAATCAAAACACAACCCCTCCAGCGAATGAAGCCCTGGCCTTCGCAGCCATCACTCGCATGCCGATGCGCTCCAGGTTCTCATGCAGCTGCAAGCTTGTAAGAGCTTTGGTGAGCATGTCGGCATCCTGGAGGTGGGAGCGTACTGAGTGCACTTCGACCTCCTGCTGGCGCACCGCATCCCGTACAAAGTGCCATGCCACCTTAATGTGCTTGGTGCGCTGATGGAGAACGGGATTGTGGGCAAGGGAGACAGCAGCCTCATTATCACAGAGCAATGGAATAGCCCCCCCATCCCCCACATGCATCTCTGCCAACAAACTCCTCAACCAAATGGCCTCCTTGGCCCCCTCTGATAGAGCTTTGTACTCAGCTTCAGAAACGCTTGCTGCAACACTGTCTTGCTTTTTGCTATACCAGCTGATTGCTCCTCCTCCCAGCTTAAAGATGTAAGCAGAGCGACTCTTGCCATCAGTCTCACCACCCCAATCCGAGTCTGTGTACCCAACAACCTGCTCACCACCTTGGCGCTCATACCTGATGACACGATCAGCTGTGTCGACCAAGTACCTGAGTGCTCTCAGTGCAGCGCGCATGTAAATGCGTCTTGGTGCCACGCAGGACTGTGCAAGGGTGTTGACAGTGAAAAGACATGTCAGGACGGGTGGTCACAGCAGCATACATCAAGCTGCCAATGAGACTCTGGTACACCTTGACATCAGCTGCAACACCTTCCTCAGTCGACCAAGTACCATTCCTGATCTTAGAGAGATCATTGGGTGACATTGGAATATGCACCCAATGGGTCTCCTTCAGCAGATCACCAAACCTTCCCTGGAGACCACGTACATACTTCTCCTGACCAATCTCCAACCACCCATCCTTGACCGACCTGCGAACCTCCACACCAAGGTACGTGGATACCTCACCTAGATCCTTCATCTGGTACACCTTGACATCAGCTGCAACACCTTCCTCAGTCGACCAAGTACCATTCCTGATCTTAGAGAGATCATTGGGTGACATTGGAATATGCACCCAATGGGTCTCCTTCAGCAGATCACCAAACCTTCCCTGGAGACCACGTACATACTTCTCCTGACCAATCTCCAACCACCCATCCTTGACCGACCTGCGAACCTCCACACCAAGGTACGTGGATACCTCACCTAGATCCTTCATCTGGTACCTCTGAGCAAGCACCTCCTTGACCTGACTGATCAGCTCCAAGCGTGGAGACACAAGCAAGAGGTCATCCACATACACCAATACATACACTGGCTCTTCATCCACAAACCTGATGTACAGAGCCTCATCACATGCACTGCGTTCAAACCCTGCTGCAATCAGGGTGGTACCAATCTCCTCATTCCAAGCACGAGGCGCTTGCTTGAGCCCATAGAGAGCTTTGCGCAAGCGATACACCCTACCTGTACCATCATCAAATCCCTCAGGTTGCCTCACATACATGATCAACATCCTCCTGTTGTACATGCCACCCTTTTACCGCGGCTTCTGCAAGAAGCACCCGACCTGAGGTGAGCTTGCCCACAGGGGCAAATACCTGATCATAGTCCTTTTCGGGCTCCTGAGTGTACCCCTTAGCAACAAGGCGAACCTTGTGCTGTACCACCTTATCCTCCTTGTCAGTTTTCCTGCGGAAAACGTACCTGACCCCAATGGCCTTCGTACCTGGAGGTAAGTCGACCGGCTCTGGATCCCATACACCCATAGTGCGCATTGCATTTACCTCCTTCTCAGCGCCTGCCTTCCACGCAGGGCCCTCAGGGCCACGCAGGGCCTCAGCGAGTGTGCGTGGGACATCATCGGTGCTCACACCTGCTAGTGCAACACCTTCCACCTCCCTGGCCAAACACAGCATGCCCTCAACCACACCAGCATCCCCCCCTACCTCCTCACCACCTGTACCAGACTGGATACCAAGCACCTGCAAACCCGTAACCGGTGGTGGGGAGGTAGTCGCTGGTGACGGAGGGGCACCCGTAGAGAGAGGGACAGAGCGCTGACCAGAGGAGGAGGAAGAGGAAGTAGCCTGTGTAGCGGATCTCCGCTGAATGACCGAGGGGCCACTGAGCTGCTGCAGAGGGGTGGGCTGCTGCTGCACCGACACACTCAGCGGTGCCGGTGGCAGTGATGAAGGTGGTATCTCAACGTCGTCAGCCGGTGCTGAGGGTGGCGAGAGTGGAAGAGGGAGGAGTTGGGAAATCGCAGCTGCATCCTGCAGAAGCTCCCCAAATCCCTTTGCCTTGTCCCAATCCTTCCACATCACATTCTCAAGAAAATCAACATCCCGAGCAATGCGAATGCGCATGAGAGAAGGGTCCAGCATGCGCCAACCCTTGCTCTCCATGTCCACCCCAACACAGACACACATGACAGCCCGTGCATCAAGCTTGCCACCCTTCTCATGCCCATGCAGCACGACACTCCCCATGCAACCCCAAATCCGAGCCATGCCCACATGTGGCTTCTGGCCGGACCACGCCTCCATTGGTGTGATGGAGGCAGGCAAAGCACTGTGGGTGACCCTATTCTTAACCCACACGACCCACATCAATGCTTCACCCCACAAGCGAGCAGGGAGACCACTGTCGACCAACAATGTGCGAATCCCCTCTGCCATCGTCCTATGCCACCTCTCCACGACCCCATTCTGCTGCGGTGTATCTGCGACACTCAATTGGGTTTTGATGCCAAACTCCGCTTTCCATGCTTTCACAGCGTCCCCCAAGAACTCGCCACCCCTGTCGGAGCGAACAGCCTTCAGCTTCCGCCCACACTCCAACTCCACGTCCTTATGCCACTGGCGAAGAACTTTTGCGACTGTGGCCGATTCCTTGTTGGGGAGTGGGAACGACCAAACTCGTCTGGTGAAGTCGTCAATGAGACTGAGGACATACACCGCTCCTGTCAAACATTATATATGTTGTATTTGTGTAGGCTACAGTGGGTTAGCCTTTAGGGGGTACACAATTCTAGGGTTAGGTACTTGTACTCCCTTTCCTTTCTAGTCCAACACTTCTTCTTTCTAACATGGTATTAAGAGCGTAGGTTTAGACCTAGGATCGCTCCTTAGGGCCCACCGTTCCGTTCGAAGCGCCCTCGAGCGCCTTTCTCCTAGTGCGCCCTCGTGCGCCTCACTGTCTCCTACTGCCCGTGCGCAGCTCAGTAGAGCCACACGCGGCCTTTTTTTTTTCTCGCGTGCGTCGCCCCCTAGCAGCCCGCGCGCGGCGTTTCCTGCGAGCGCGCCGCCCGTTAGCCTCCCACGCTGCCACGCGCCGCCCGCTAGCAGCCCGTCGACGGGCCCTTCTGGCCGCGCGTAGCCCGCTAACGACCGGCAGCCCCGCCCGTAGGCCGTGCCGCCGCCCTCTAGGCCGCCCACGTACTAGTCAGGCCCACGCAAGGCCACGGCCCGCCCGCTACAGCCGCCCGTGTGCACGCCCCCCCCCCCGTCGCGCACTGCCCCGTAGCCCGGCCCGAGCCGAACCGCGCCGCCTGTTGGTGCAACCCTACGGTTTGCACTCGGCTTGTTGTCCGTGTGCGTGAATGTGTGTGTGTATGGAATGGTATGAGGGCATGGGATAATATATATTTCATGCTTATAATTGTGTGTGAATGTTGAGTCATGATGTCGAGTGTGTGTGTCGAGTCAATAGCGAGTTATCGCTAGACGCGTGTTACGCGGTCGTTTGTGTC